AATTCTAAGTGCACGAGAACAATCATCCTCTCATAACTTGGGTACTCATCGCAGTGCTCCCACTCCTTACAGTAAAAATCACTTTGTTATAATTATATAACATTAATAGTTAGCGAGAATATTTTTAAAACATTTTTTTTTAGATTATAGTTAATCGTAAAGTAAAACAGCTGTTTTAGTTTTTTTAGTTTATTGATGTCGGTAGCAGAATACTCAAAATGGGAGTAAACGTCTAAGCGAGAACGAATCCACCTTATTTAGGAAATTTGTCTCAGGATCCAAAGAAAATAATTTTTGAGAAAAATAAAATGTACCGAGCACATTATCGATTCTTCTTTTCTGGTTTACCGCATTCGTATGGCCAATTTTGTACTTGGTTTTATTTTCAAATTGTGCTCTTTTGAGCTTCGGCGTTTCTCGAAAATTGGCCATAAGGTGCCTCCGAAATATATTTTTATACAGATGTAACACATATTTTAGACACTACATATTTTGCCATAATATTCGGAAGAGATACTAATTTATTTATAAAATCACAACGACTTTTTTATACCCAAAAGTCAGAGCTGGGCAGTATCGCAATACAAATGGTATCGCGATAGTATCAAAGAGATGCTTTCAAGTAATCTGTATCTCGATCGAGATACATCTGAAAAATGTCTTTGTATTTCAGTAGTGAAATACACTTTACAAGGTATCGCATGTATTGCGATACTTTGTCAGACTTAGGCATCTCGTTATATTTGTTGCACTTTTTTCACATATATTTACAAGTCAAAAACATCTGGTTGGTGCAAGTTGCTTCCGAATTTATAATATGAGCGAATTTATAATGTTGGTGACTGAGATGATTCATCTCAGTCACCAACATTAAAAAGACCTGTGGTTTAAAGGTCACTTGCAAGAATAACAAAATCAGCTCCTCTGACCAAAACACTCAGTTCTTTCCAATAAGTAGAGCGAACGCTGTAAAGGAGTTGAGTGGAGAAAAATTATAGCCCTGTTGTCCAATCTTCCCACACTATGGGTGGCTCGGAAGCATATAAGATGACAGTTTGAGATGCGCCGTCACGGCAAAACTCGGTTCATTTCGGACAGACGCCTTTTTGTCAAACACTGTATGCAGTCTTTACCGTTCTATGACTATGTGGTTCAAGGGGGGGGAGACATGCATTTTAGTGGCATTAATGATAAATAAGGAGTTTGAGCTAAGGGATAGTGCATAAAATGGCACAAAAAGAGAAGCACAAGCATAAATTACCATTCGCATTCGCCACGAATTACACCCTCCCCATGTAGCATATTATTCGGGAACAAATGTATTTCTATAAGTATCTGTATTCCGGAATACTTTTTCACCGTTTTCGCAGAAGTATCTCAGGGATATCCCGTTGCGTAAGAGACAAATGTATCTCAGTATCTCTATGTTGAGCCTTAAAATACATGTATCTCAGTATTTCTATTCCGAAATACTCTTTGTAGCATCTCTGCCCAGCCCTGCCAAGAATGAACTGCACACTGAGATTAAGCTGGATTATTTCCGCAGTGACACTGCATAAAAAAGTTTATTCGACTGAGGAACCTGAAGTTAACACGTCATCATCTTTAAATTTGGAAAAAGAAATTGCGGTATACGATAGAATGGAGTAGTAGCACGGCGAATTGTTGAAAGGGTAACGTTTCGGGTGTTATGGTCTTATTTGTATATTAAATACAGGGGCTTCTATGGGAGCGCTGCCGTAACCCACTAAGAAATGGGACAAGTATACGATGGCACACATGTATGGGGATGTTTTTAATCCCTGCAACCTCATGTTCTTAAACTTTCGCCTCTTATCTTCACTACTAGCGTAACATTTAGATGGAGCCCGGCGTTCTGCAGAGCTTAGTTTATTTATTTAGTAAAAAAAAAGTGTTTCATTTTCTTTCGGTGTAGTGAGCCGATCCTGTGAAGGAAATGTTCTAGACAAATTGCATTTTAGGATTTCCCTACGTAGCCCCCTCGAGTGTGATGCACCTCCCCTAGGTGTGCTTCACTACTGCCAACCAGTGGAAGAAGAAAAAAAAAACGACTTTTGTCTTGCTCTTCACCCCTCACATTGAAAAAGGTTGTCCTTGAAGACGCCGGTATTTGAGTCCAGGGAACAAATGAAAGACTGGCGGTTTCAAATTCAAGGAGTTGTGTGGGTGAGGTAATGACCGAGTTACGTTCACAGATCTGCCGCAAGGAGGCGCGGGCCGTGCGACGAGCTGCGTAGTTTTGGAGGAAAAGTTTTCCTGGGCTTTTCTCGGAAATGGCGAGTCGCAATTTCTGTATGAGGGAGCAATGCGGTGCAAAAGGGTGCAAGATGCTCGTGATACGAACTGGCGAAGTTCTATTCTAGGGCATAAGGTAATTCCCCGGTAGGCTGACTACCTCTCAAACAACCCCCGTACGTAGAACGCATAAGGAACATCATGTGTTTACGCCAGGGATCGACAGGCAAAGGCAGCAAATATTTACGACCAGTAAGACCTACGAAGTAAAACAATTGTGACGTGTCGCGGGTGCTAGCAAATTTATTCTGTTCAGCATTGATTTGGGGGAAAAAGAACCCGCTGACCGAAATAATGGTCGAACGCAATACGTGCAAATCTTCGATGAACACGTTCTCGATTTTGACAACTAGTCACTTCTTGACAGTTTTATACTAGAGAGCCGAACTCATGCGAGACACGTCGGATCATTGAAGTCACAAGTTGTACGAGGAAAGAAACTAAACCGAAAACAGGAACTGACCCAATGCCTCACAGGTTCATTAAAACTGAAGGAGAAAAATTAATATATAGAGGGTGTTTTTCCTAGGGTAGAAAATAATGAAAAAAAGGGGCTGAAAATAACGAAATTACGACTTCGGGATAACGTTAGGTAGACCGCGGTGGACGTCAGCCAGATAGCATAAAGTGATAATTATCTAAAACGCACTAATGAACCTTGGAAATATTTGCTTCAGCTGGCAAGAAATAATTGTCGCTCGTCATTAAAATGCGAAAGAGCGGTAGCTAAATTTCAAGCAACTAGATTCTGAATGGTGGTTTCCGCAGTTTCTTTTCGTGTGCTATGACTGAAGTGTTTTTGTGTACCCCTCTGATAAAGGATAACCCGCGTCTGCCCTTTCCCTGCTAGACTTAACGTACAGTGGCTAGCGATATGGGCTATACGATGCGCTAACGGCGATAAGGCAGTACACAAACCACGCTGTCGCAGGGCTACTGTGCGTGCGTCGGGGGATGGGGAAATATCGCGCGTGGCAGGTGATTAGACGCATTTAAACACCTCCACTGCCTTTGCGACCCTCCACTCGCTGCCTGCTAGACCACGTGGTCAGCACTGCCTGGTCGCCGTCTGCGCATCCTCGCTCGTACCGCTAGGCACATATTTCCACGGTATGTATCCGCGACGAAAGTGGAATTATTCTTTAATTTCCTGTTTCAAGGCAAGTGAAAAAACTACAGTGAAAACGTCTTCGGTTTGTTTTTTTAAAAGTGTAATAAAGCTCTCATTACCATCTCTCACAAGCTGGCTGAAAGCGTCGAAAGCTATACACTCACGGCAGGGTTTGCCACCATCGGGGACAATCTTTGTCTGCAAAGTAACTTCCCCCATTTGAAGTCAAAAGAAGCCCAGTTCTACGCGCGACTAAGCTGAAGAGGCGACCTTACAGTTGCCACAGTCGAGTCGCACCAAAACATCTACTGGATCAACTGAACAATAAGCTGATGAAATTACGTCACGGTCATTGGTAATGCATATAGATGTAACACATTATAAGAAGGAAGGCATTTTTTTAAAGTTTACCTGCACAAGGTAACTAAAGTTTAGAAAGTGAAACAAAACGATCTCTCTCTCTCTCTCTCTCTTTATATATATATATATATATATATATATATATATATATATATCGTTTTGTTTCACTTCCTCGTCGAAGCAAGCTGCCTTGAGGTCTACCCACCATCCTCCAATCAGAGCCAGTCAGAGCTCGGCTTTCTGACGTCGCCACAACCCCTGCAAAAGGAACAGACGAACGCGCGCTCCGCATTATGTTCGGTTTTTACGACTTGTGTTCGCGCTTAGGCGTTCTTATCGCGCAATTATTTTTTATTGTTATCGATTGTCGTTCCCACTCTCCTCTTCGTTCCCATGGCCTTGACTGTGTGTGAATGAATAAATAAATGCACAAACCTTATTGGCTGATAAGCCTTGAGTAGATAATCGGGACTCGACCAGACTCCGCGCGTCTTAACTAATGAGCGTCTATAAAAATAAAGAGAAGGAAAAAGGCGGTATTAGCATTAATATTGTTTTGCCTGAAGCAGACGAAAATAGCGCGCAAACTACGACGCATAAAATCTTGGCGGGAAGCAGCATTGCCCAATTAACGTGTCTACTCAATCTTTTATCGGTACGTCAATAACCCACACGCACGCGTCGTATATTCCTCGAGGGCTCGTTGGCGCAAAGAGAAAAAAAATCTGCATTCATAGCTGCTGACACACCGCCTACCACAACGGTTTGGCGGACTTCACGGTGTCCTTGCCGCTAGTCTGACTACTCTGCGCATGCGCATAGATTACAAGAAGCTGCTGACGTCCCCTAGTGGAGGAAAAATGATCAGGTTTATTGATTTCTTGGGTAATACTAATAAACTAAGTGAAGCACTAAGATATATACAGTTTTTACGTCTATAAGTACACGCACTTGGGGATACTTGATATGCATTTATGCTGTGCTATCAATGTACTAAAACATAACTATTGAAGTATACCTGTAGTAGTCGGAGTAATATGAATGAAATTTAAGTACACTATAATTTAACTTTAAGTTCATTCAATCTGTACGGAATATGCACTCGCAAACAACAGTTAGGTGCTTGACAATTATCAAAGGTACAGACCGCGTCAATAAAGTTTGCATCCTTATTTTTATTATTATTTTTGTTCAGCAGGAAAAAGACACCAGGGAGAGGTGCGGGGTAGTTTATTACTTAAGTAATTCTAACGCTTTTTTTTTAAATGCACAGCAAGTCGTCACAAAATGTCAGTTATTTACCACCCACCATTATTTAACATTGACAAAAAAATGTAATGTTCGCTTAGAGCTTTTTGTAAATGCGATGGAGTACTTGCGCCAACAAATCGCAAAGCATTGTTAACCAGCACATTTATTTTGATTCCTGCCGCATCGGGCTAGTATGAAAACAAACCGATCGAAGAAGGTTTATATGATGTGGGGCAGTGTTCAGGGATTATAAACCTTTGTTTTCTTTGCGTCGCTTTTGTTTGAAATGATGATATTCGGGGCCAGCATTTAGACAACGCGTAGCACCAAGTAAAATAAAAGACGAGGAAATAAAGATAGAAAGAAATCTCGGAAAATAACAATACCCCAGCACATTAGTACAGCAGTTTAGGGCACGTATTTTAATGATTTGCATTCTATGGGCACCGAAGTATATATCCCAGATGATACTGAAGAAGACGGGAATGACAGTTTTAAAAAGGTTAAAGTCGTTGGGCTTGTTCACAATTTTCTTTTGATCACGGAGCTGCAACAATCATAATCCTTTCCCGCCGATAAAGGACTTTAGGTTGCCACAACAGAAGACCCAATTTGTTTTGCCCATGTACACGCAGCTGGCCTCGGATGTTTCATTTAAGTGACCTTCCTTCGCTGTTTGTGTCAAGGATGTACTACTTTTTTGGGGGTATAGGGAATTGGTCTCACTGAGCCGCAAAAACACCGTGCAGAAACATGAGGCTCATACAAGAAGAAAACGTGCACGCGAAAAGACAAAAATAACGCAACTACAATCCATTGACTGACCCCAGAAAGAATAAAGCAAACTCGAGACGAAGGACGACGAGTATTTCTTTCAACTAGCAACGACGTTCATGTCGTTGCTAGCTGAAAGAAAGGTTCGTCGTTTTGCGTCCCGAGTTTGTTTTAGTCTTTCGGTGGTCAGTAAATTATACCAACACGCTTTTCAGTTAGTGTGACTAGAAAACATTGGGGCGCAAAGATTTCACACTGTATAAATATCATGCCTATAGCAAGGTAAGCAGGGCAGAAATCGGAAGTGGCTAGTTCCCCTTGGGCGAACACTCGCCGTTTCGAACCTCTAGGCGGCCGGAACTGCGGCCTGAAGCTTTGAAGATATGGGCGGTGAGCGTGAGCATGCATCTCAAAGAAATTGAAAGATCCACCACCAATACAAGGAGCAGCAATTTCTCTCTTTTCGTGTGACATTTAGTAAGTAGTAAAGATTGCAATCGCACGCGTTGGTAACACTCTCACTGTGAAATTTCAGATTGATTTGACACATGCGCCTTCTTTTAACGTTGTTCAGGATAAATATTGAAATCTTAACGTGAGCTCCATTATGTGCATTACTGAGTCATCATTTCGCCGGGTTGAACACAAGGTGAGCATGAGCGCGGTAAAGTGGATATCTACCTCTTGAGGCATAATCCTCTGGTTTGTGACAACTTTAGCATCGCTGACTAAAAATGAAAGACCAAACTGTAAATGTTTATTTCACTGTTTTGCTTTGCACTTGGAAGATATATTTTATAGAAAGTTCCATTCGTCAAGTGAGCATCTCTCAAACCAGAAAGATCCATCAAAACGACAAACTGAAATGTATAAGCAGAAGCAGGTGATGTACTGACGCATGTTTCTGTTGACTTCCGCCGAGGGAACTATGCTGGCTACGCTTTGCTGCCTTCCTTTGTTTGTTTCATTTGACACCAAGGTGTAAGCCTTGCTGTTGATCAGCAGATTAATTCTTGTCTTTTGGCGGTTTTGCAGAGGCACTAGGTGATGCTTTCATGCTGATTCATCTTCACTTGTAGGTAAATGTCTTTATCACCTTTTGTTCCGTTGTGGTTCGCATGCCTCTTCTTGTAGCAAAACAGTTCTGACGCCATATAAAGGAAACCTTTTGCCACAGGAATCTCTCGGAGAAACAAACAGCAGAAGGCGCTAATTGCGGTCACCACGCCCATAATAACGAACAGTCCCTGGTAGTCTCCCAGATCGTCCCTGAAGTAGCCTGAAATGAAATCGAGAAATAAAATTGGTAATGCGAATGTTTTGACAGCCCGAAGCTAGTCGGTCCTTTACCAAATGACAAAAGAACAGGAAAGTGCACACTTTAGCTTTGGAATTTGTACTAAACCTCTCAACTTCATCCTTCAAAAGACATTCAGTAGCTGCCTGCAAGTAAAATGCAGTTTCAGTTACAACCGTTGTACGTATCTGTTCCTAGTTCACGAAGAACTCTCTCTTTTAAGTTTCAGTTAAGAAGCAGAATCTCATAGGAATTTTAGGGGCAGGATAATGTTCTGATGACAAAATCTGAAATTTTCTCTTTGCAGGTATGGGCCTCATTTACTGTTCAAGCTCTGAAGTTCAGGCTAAAGGCACGCAGAACTGCGCACACTTTTAAGCAACAGCAGCTTCAACCAATCATTTCTGTAAATGACGTCGCAACCGATATTTACTAGGGCTGGGCGTCCATTAAAAACTTTGACACTATTAATCACCACCTTTTGTTTCTTCATTCCCATGCATAACATGTAAAAAAAGACAAAATTAAAAAAAAAATAATATTTGACCTGATTGAATGTTTGTTTTATGAACGGCGCAGTGTACAATTTCGGATTCTTAAATCAACCTTGAAGTGTAGATGAGAGCAGTCGAAAGACACCCACACTCAAAACTGATTACTTCAGCCGGAGAGGCAAAAAAATGTTCGTTGATATTCTCCGGCAATAGCTACTCCTTTGATTGTTCACAACAGTCTCTGCTGCCCTAAACGGACATTCGAACGGCGCAAAAGTGACTGGGACCCGTTTAGCCTTCTCCACGTGTTTGATGAAAGCCTCACATCTACAGTTAACTTCAGGTCAAACTTTCACTAAAAGTTGGCCTTCATAAAGTTGTACTCATCAACGTCTGCGTGGTACGTGAAACGGTTAAATTTTCACTTTTTTGTTTGTTAGTAAAAGATTAACCAATCAACTGTTTAAAAAAAAGTGATCGCAATTAAGACATAATTTGAATTATCGGTAGGTTAATGGATTAAGTGCCCAGCCCTAATTACCTCAATTAAGGTTAATTATACGCTGCTTCATTGTTTCTAAAAGGAAACTTCCAGGAATTTCTCAAACCTTAATTCTAATAGGTAGTTGTAATTTTATCTTTATTTTGGCCACTTGTTAAAACTGATAGTCAACATATTACACACGTTGTTTTACGAATTACGCGAGACTTTCAATTAAGAACAGTCTGCATTTACCACATTGAATTTCCTCGGTCTGCGTATTCCGAAGGATGTACAATGGGTTCTAAGTTAAAGCTGTAAGTTTCGTCGCAATCAAGTACCCCTCAAATATTTAATAATGTTGCCCTTCACATCGAAACGTCGATATCTCTTACAGAAATGGCAATTACAAATATACGAGCACTTTTGGCATCCCACATGCACAGGGAAGGCACCGCAGCTCTACGAAGTCATTCCTTGTTTCGTCAACTTCAACCACAAACAAAACAACTGAATATTGTATAGTTCATTTTTTTATTTAATATAATACGTCCATGCCAACTTATTTGAACTTTAAGTATCAGCCGACTTCACGATTTTAAATTACGGCTTTTCAAAATAGGTGCTCGCTTTACGACTCCCTTCTCTCAAGTAGAAGTTTACTGCACCAAGCCACCAGGATCCAAGAAACTACGAACGTTTTTCGGTGATGGCCGTTTTATTCGTCGGAGTCCAGGCATTTTTTTTTTTTTTTTGTGTTTGGCGACAGCGAAACTTTCATTGAATTGAGACGACATTTTTCGTTCTCGACTTTCTGTTTGCGTTGTTCTGTGCTGCTCGAGTCGCATTATGAATCTATCACGGATTACATGATATCGCTATATTACTCATAATTATTCCACAGTATGCTTCTGATACTAGTTCTGCCTCCCTCCCAATGTCCACGGTCCTTCGTGATTGATTTATGAGCTTTGCATGGCAGGAAACAGTAAGTTTACTTAATAATTTTGCTTCAGTTCCACAGAGAAGCATTACTTTTGTAAATCTGTTGAGAATATGTTGTGTGTAATATTAGTAGTTTAATCAACTTCTAGGAGTTATCAAAAACAATTATGGCTGTTCATGTATACGTTTGATATGCAGAAATTGATATGCAACGGCCGATACGAAGCAGACTCCCACGATGTCCGGCCGACACAAATCAGACGTATATGCGACATTCAGCCGATACCGGGGCCGATTCGTACAGTACACGCACAATATCACGCCAATGCGGAGTGCAAGTTCGTCTGCTACTTTTGCAGGGGTTGTGGTGACGTCAGAACTACGCCGAGCTCTGACTGGCTCCGACTGCAGGATAGTGGGTAGACCTCCAAGAAAGCTGCCTCCAGGTCTACCCACTATCCTTCAATGAAAGCAAATGAAAGCTGGCGTTCTGACGTCACTGGAACTCCTGCAAAAGAAGCAGACGAACTTGCGTTTCGCATACCCGGAGAAAGTCCGATGCGTATAATACTCGCACGATATCGCGCCGATGCTAGGACGGTGGCGAAATGACGGTACGCCAATAACCGCTGAATATCGGGCCGTGGTGCGAAACTTAATATTTGACCGATTTTGGGACCGATTTTTGGCCAGCACTGGTGTGACACCGCCCAAGCATCGCCGTGCTGCTGGGTATACAGGACGGCTGTTTTAATTTGATTCACTAATGAGCTGGGTAAAATAAGAAAAAAAATAAGAGTGATGACAAATGCTTTAACCGTACACAGAATTGAGATGCATACTGTACACAGCAACTTCGTATAATAACCGCGAATATTTAGGCACTTGTCACGACATAAAGCACAAGCTTTTGGGAGCCCTCCTCAAAGAAAATTGCCACTAATGTTCTCACTCATTCCACCAGGCGTCACCAAGAGCGTCAGTCGCCATAGAACATTTACCCCGACACCCATCATAATGGACGTTTGTTTTGCTCCCTTACACTTCGTGCAGTTTCCTATATATGCATTACACGCCCGCGGCAACTGACGGTCTCGTTGACGCTCGATGGAATGAATCAGAAACCAGGCGGAAACCTTTGAGGAGCATATCCAAAAGCTTATGCCATGAAATGATAAGTGGCTGAATCGGCGCGGTGATTACGTGGAGAAGTGGCTACAGTATGTATATAAGTTTAAAATATGCAACAAAAAAAATATACCAGTTTTTTTTTTCGGTTTAAATGATCGGTGGTTGAAAAAAAGCTGCTCCTGTATTATGAATAAGTTAAGGCAAAGTAACACCGAAGAAAGTCTATGCAAAAATAACAAAGATTTTAAAGTGTTCCACGAGACGCAGCAAATTGAACCATGTACCAGACGGGACAGGTTTAATGTCATAAAAGAAAGAAACATAAGAGAACATATCTAAAAAAAGAGAAGAAAATGATTTACCTATCAAGACTGGTCTCAGCAACAGTGGTATTCCCGAGATCAGGAGCGCCACTCCGAAGCACTCGCTAAATTTGTCGGTGTTCACAAGCTCCATGAGCAACACTGGGACTAAGATGAGAGTAGCACCGTTACACCACCCTACGACGACGGCTTGAATGGCATGAAGGTAGAACGAGTAGCAGAAAGGCATCACACATAAAGACAGTGCCCAGAGGAAAAGGTTAGCGGTCATCATCGAGCTCTTCGCCAGGAATCCCTTGTCCGTAAACCAACCAGATCCCAGCCTGGACACCAAATCTGCAATCGCGTACATCATGAGAAGCAAGACGGCGTTCCATTCGGAGACATTTCTGTCGGTTGCAAAGTCGACAGTGACCGTTGAGTACGTAGACATGTTGAAAACGATGACCGAACTTGCGAATGCGATGATGTAAAATTTAGGGTGTCTGAGGTAGGATGGCGAGGAGACCTTGTTTTGATTACTGGAACTTTTCATACCATAGGTTGCCGTCTCGTCATTTACAACGTCGACGTCATCAGGTGCATGGTGTGGATTCACACACTCTTTTCCTTGAGATTCGTTTTGCTTCTCATATCCCAGATCCGTCGTTGTTTTTGATTGTGACGAAAGGGCCTGCGTAACATTTAGAGGGTGAGAGACTCCCTGAGTGGCCCCGTTTTTATGAGGAAAGCCGTTTTGCGCTAGGAACTTATCGTCTTCAGTTGTCAATGCAGCTCCAATGCTATCATTTGGGCACTGTCGGATGTCGCTTTTATTAGAGTCTGTCTTGTATAAACAAATGTCGTGCCTCTTGTTTTCATTAAGGACTGATGCAGACTTGCAGGGCATTTCTGGTGGAATGCGTTGCAGCAGTGCGCCTCCAGTGGCATTCAGCATCAGGGCTCCGGTCACCAGGAACATTCCTTTCGGACCGTAGTTTTCAAGCAAAAACTGGAGCAGTGGGGGAAAGACCAGGCCGGAAACGGTCAGTCCTGCAAAACTTATACCACAAGCGAGCGCTCTGCGCTGGGTGAAGTGGGCTTTGATTACTGTGTTGCAAAGATTGGTGAACGACATGCTGATGCCTGAAATAAAAAAAAAGAAAGACCAGATCAGCAATCTAGTTAAGGATAAACATACTTGAAGCAACACGAATACCACAAAAAGTAGGTGATTTCATGACCGCATCACCTAGAAGGATGCCCTTGAAGTTGCATTGAAACCACCCCCTCCGCGGGAGCGGGAGAGGGCAGTAAAAGGAGAAGGGGAACATGACGTCACGAAAGGTTCCTCGCACGTGCTCTTTGACTCACAGAGCCATCAAACCTACTGCTGGACTAGAAACCATTTACTGAGAATCTTCTTCCAGATTCATTAGTTTCATATCTCGGAACGAAGAAATGTAAAAGAAGAAGAGGTGTTTTTTTTTGTTTTTTTTTCAGTATAGGGTTGCCAGTTTAGCAGTTTGAGGATTTTTCTACAGAACAGGCAGGTCAGCGCATCCGAGGAACTTACGCGAAGCGGAGACCAAACGAGGTTAAGGATTTCCAGTTCATAGTTGAGCGACATATGCAGTTAGAATCGCACTAGCTCTTTTTATGACATCACGGCACGACCAACCAATGACGTCCGAAGCGGCGAGCGGCTGCATATTTTTCGATTCTTTTTTTTTTACGTTTAATGTTGTTTTGAGAACAAATGAGAGGGATGGTGACATTTTGATTCTCCAGGAAAAACTACGCCATAACGTAGCATTGACTATTTTTTTAACTGTTTCAACTTCCCTTTGTTTCTAACGGTCACAGTTTAATCGCACACGGGGCTGGATTAGTTGCTTGGTTGATTGGGGTTTATTGGTGCATAGGGATGTATAAGAAGGGCCAAGAGTTTGAACTATTGTAATACTAGTGCTAAGTAAGGTAGGATCTATAGTACCTAGCGGTACTGACATGTGCCGCTGAGAGGAAGCAACGGCGACACGGCACAATAATCACCCTATCTACTCTTTCTACTACGTTGTGACTTAATGATTTCGGCGACAGTGAAAGTACAGAGCTTTATACTCAATCTCCCTAGTGGCTCGCAGCATTACCAAAGGTACAGGGACAAGGGCGCATAGCGCAAACAGTTCAGCTGTAGTGGAAGGGGGGATTCCTCGTTTGCCCTTAAACCTTTCTGTGGATCACAGACGTCGCTTTTGTGCCTATCGGGAATGAGACTGTCATTTGAACTTTGTAAAAAAGAGGGTTTTTCCTCCCTCCCATCTAATATTAATTTTCTCTGTATGTTTCTACAGCCGGACGTTGGTCAGCATCAATGGGCGTCTGGTGTCTCAGCTGTAGATGAGCAATTTAGCCAAAGCAGTACAACCGCTATCCACGAAATTTCGGCGCTGATTTTTTGGTCCATATGTATTCAAAGGAGCAGTATCGCAACGGACACATTAATCTATTGTTAAACGTGCAACATGTAATGGCAGGGTGTTTTCGTAGGTCGTTTTCGCCGTCCCGCAACGCTCTCCGCAACCCGCTACCATAGCCAGAACTCTACTGTCAAGGCTGTCGGCGCGCACGCGCATTAGTGGCTTTTTCGTTGCGGAGGGCTTCACGGAGGGCAAGACGCGGTTTACGAAAACTTCCTAGTGATACACGACCATACGCCGGTACGATGCTCATCCAGATCAAAACCGGCAGGGGGGGGGGGGGGGGGGGGGGGGGATTGAACTCCCTGGGTTCTGCAGCGCGAGCTTTCGCTCCACGTGCTCCGAGCTGGTGTCAGCTAGCCCACTCGGCCACCGATCAACCTTTCCCCCCTGTCTGCGGCTTCCGCAGCGCTACGTGCAGCTGGTGAGATTGGTGTGCCTAGATTTCAGAGTTTTTCAAACACGTCGGTCGGGGTCAGGTGGTTGATGTACAGCATTTGCAATATGAGCTACGAGAGAGAGGGACGAAGGCTTCGACCGTCTAAGCGTCTCCGGCGTTTCGCACACCTTCCTCCGTGTGATGCGACAGCGCAACAAATGAATACTTGCTACCTACCTGTGCAGAAGGCGACCGTCATTTGATTACAAACGTTCCGTTCTTTCAGTTGCTTTATCTCTTAAATCTAAGCTCTCTGAGGGAGATGGAGTGTAAAAGGATCTTGACCGCGCCGACTCACCGTGCACGATTCCAATGGCGGCGATGAGGAACCAGGTGCCGTTGGCAAAGAAGCAGGCCGATATGCTCAGGGCTCCCACCAGGCACGCGCAAACACTCAGCTTCCACACTGGGACTCGCGTGGCGAGCCATCCCACCACGGGACCTGTCAGTGGAGACCCGACAGTGACGCGATATTTCATACCAGAAATTGGAAACTTTTTGAGTCCATAGAAACGAAAAACAAAAAGACACGCGCCAAACCAACACCACCTATAAACCTTTTCCAGCAATCGCTTTCTGGGCGCTGCCATCTTTGTCTCCTGGGCTGTGGAAGTCGTTCTGAGCGTACGCAGTAGCTGACTTTCACGAAATATGAGACGCCGCGCAAGCGTCCACAGCCCAGCCACTCAGCATATTTCAGCTGGCTGATAAGCTCTGGACAGGTCTGTACCTCGTTTCAACATAAAGCAGGAGGACGCAATCAACGCTACAAGCCTATCGTGCCTATGAAACAGCGTCAAAAATATTGTGTTCGTCTAGTGTCTGTGCGCGTTCTATCGTCTTTGAACTAATTATCTGAAGCGAAAACACGATGACTTGCGCTTTTCACGCTGTTTGATTGGTCTTGTTAACTCGTAGCTTCTGCTGCGTCTGGATATCGGTACCGATATCCATTCGGGTATCGGGGGATCAAAGCATAAGCACTGGAATTCTGTCATAGTCACAGTGAGGATAAGCGCAGACAAAGATTGAACACGTGTGCTGGGTGAAGGTTCGGCCAAGCCCCGTTGTCCAATCAATGCGTTCAGGGACGCTCGGCGTCGGGCTTGACTCCAATCACCGAGTAGGTGGCATCCGAGTGTGATCATGCGACGTGGAAGTAGCGCAATCTGTTCACAGGCTTCGATTATTCCACTGGATGTTGGTCAAGCTCCCGTGAGTGGAATCTCTATTCGCAAGGGTTTGGCGGGAGTCACGTGGCTACGTCACGTGGTCAGATGCTGCCAGGTCACGCGACGTAAGTTAACATAGTGTCACGTGATCGAAGGAGAAGAGTGACGTTACCTTTCTTCCTAAAACCATTCCCCAAGCAAAAAAAAAAAAAAAAAAATTATTCGTTAATATTATTTATACTCGCGTTTGCACCTCAAGAACCGTAGTAAAAGTAGTCCTGCTGCGCTTGGAGCATTCCTAATTTTCCTATTTATGTTGAAGATTAAGATATATGTGAGCTTATTTTATATTAGTAAAGTGTGTTATCAAGACGTACGCTAAAGGTATCGTTCTTTCTCCGACAAACAAAATCTTGTAAGGACTACTTCGCATGGCGTATGAACAATACGCAAATTAACGACATCTCGATGCCTTCCCTAACGTCGAGTGCACATTTTTGTTCCTCATATTTTTCTTCTTTGCTTTCTCAGACTTTTCTGCCATTATGATTGTCCCACCAAGCGGTACCACTTTAGTCCGTGCAACGAAAATAGCAGCGCTCACCATGATCACCGCGGTTACGTATCAGCTGTATCATTACAGCCCCTAGACGAAGAAACATAGCGGACCGTGAAAGCACGCGGATTCAACACCGCAAAAATATATGATGATTAACGTTTCATTTTTTTTTTGTTTTAGTTGCAATGGCGTGTTTTATTTGATCATATCCGCGAAGGCCAAGTATCCACTGAGAAATATTTCCGGGACTTCCTGACTAGGTTACAGGAGGCCATCAAGCGTCGCGAGATGCGTTTTCTCCACCACAACGCACCAGCTAATAGTCCTCCGCAGCGGACGGTGACGGATGCGGATGCTATTAGCCTATAAGATGCTGCCAAATGTTCCCTCGTATTCACCGTCCGCGGCATCCAGTGACTTGTGCCTTCTTCCTTTTATTGAAGAACCCAGGAACGTGGCAACCGTTTTCAGGACGATGACGAGATGAATGTCAAGGTGGAACACTTCCTCAAAGCCGAAATGAATGCTTATACAACCAGTATTTTTCAGTTCATTAATCGCTGGGAGAAATGTGTCACCTTGTGTGATACATACGGAGAAACAAACTATACCTCCACCATCGACGCTCGTGATCGCAGCTTTCTTCCTTCCTGATAACAGTACAAACGTTTTGAACGCCCCTTGTATTTTGCTGTTACACAGTTCAACCTCCTTCGATGTGTAGTTTATTGTTGCGTAACTAAAGGTGTCCGAACGTTAACTTCGTTACTGCTTATAGGTAGCGCTTATTCGATAACATATCTTTTATGTCCATTTTTTATGGTACAACCGAAGAATCACTGACATGAAAGGTAGCCAACCCGCTTCTTTTTCTCGTTATTTTATATTAACTTTAACGCGATTAATACTACTACTAATATTGTTATTATTATAATTATATTTGCTTTTACTGAAGTATATGTCGAAAAAATGGCGATGGTTACCTAATCAATATGGATCAAACGAAATACCGAGCATGAGCATATCGTTAACCTGCGACACAGGAGAGGATGCCCATGACGGTGACCGGCCACGCCGCTTCCGCCCTGGTGGTGTCGAGCGAATTCAAAATGGCCACGTAGACAATGGCGGCGGACCGAAAGATGGCGTAGTTGAAGAAGTGGATCCAACAGCAACCCGCAGCCACAACCCAGCTTGTTGAGGAGTCCATGGCGAAGAGTTGATTCACTGATGTGAGAAAGGGTCTCCACGTCACATCAGCATCATCATCGTCATCATCAGAATAGTTATTATGATAATTATCATTCCAGTTTATTTTATGTTAAACAACAAAATTGCCTTGTTTGTGATGCAAAAAAAAAAAGGATTACACATTCCCGAATGTTGGTGCCCGCTGAATGAGGTTAGTATGCAGTATTCTATGTGGGTTATAAATAGGGTTCCTTGTTTTCGGTATGTACCGATAAACACCGAAAATTAACTCCCGTGGCGGTTTTTCCTGAATCGGTAAAAACAGAAAAACCACAAGTTTAAACTGTCCTTAAAGAAAAAAGAGAAGACAAGCTACGTCAGGTTTACGGGAAGCAATCTTCTAACACTAACTTTATTTTCCTCGTTGACCCGGAAAACAGCGCTGCACTGAACTGCTGTTGTGTTTGTTGCTTTCTATCGAAACCACATCCCCTGCCTTGTTCTCTTTACAAGCATTACTAAAGAAATTATTTTAGTATTTTTTTGTCCCGGTAAATAAAGGATCACTTTACAACATAAGCCCGATAAACACCGATTTCTCTCCGACATTAAAGCTGGACACTAAAAACACCGATTCAAAGAGGGGAAACAAAGAGGGCCCACCGTACCGCATCGAATGTGCAAAGACGGTTCCATAAAACTCTAACGTTAGAGAGTTTTAGGGAACCGTTTTGGCACATCCGATAAGGTACAATGGGCCCTCCGGTACAAACTGCGCATGTGCGAGCCTCCTGTGCCAAGGGGGAAAGGGCGAGCCCGAAAAAACCGTTGTGGAAAGGAGGTCACTCCTCTCTTCTTCAGCTTTCCTAGCTTCCGCGCTTTTCACCCTCGCACTGTCTTTCTTATAACGCGCTCTTTACAAACACACGAGGTGTGGGCACCGCGCATGCGCCCTGCCGCGGTAGGAGCGCCACCCGTCTGGCATTACAATGAATGGCGAGATGACCCGTCTGGCCATCTCGCCATTCATTGTAATAGATGCCCGTGTACGTCAGTGCTACATGACATTAAGATTTTGGCTCGTTATCGCGACCGAACGAAGCAGAGAGCTGCACGAGGCGTAAGCAATTAGGGATAAGGGCGTTGAGTGTGTAAGTGAAGCGTCACTCGCCCTGTCAAAGAGTGAGTTTGAATATTTGAAAGAAGCGTTGCGAGCGACAGGCTGATGACTGACAGGGCTCTGGGGCCTATAAATTCATGTACTTTTCGAAATAAACCACAGTTGCGAGTGCGCCTTGGGTCGTTCCACTTCTTTGTCCTTGTCTTTTTCGGCGCTTTTAATTACTTCTGTGGTAGCCCATCTGCAGTTCTAACCGGAAGGCCAACGCACCATATCAGATGTGCAAAAACAATTCCCTAAATCTCTTTATTGGTCACTAAACACCGTCTGTAGACATGTTTCAAGCGTACGCTTGTATGAGGCACGCATTCTGCAATATGCTTGAAACGCGTCCGGAAACACTCCTTTTCGTCATGTCTACAGAGAAACATCGTGTATCTTGCATGACGTACCGGTGGTGTAACTGCGTTCTCTTTTGTGGTCTCCGGTTCGTATGCAAATCTGACAAACACACCGACGGACAGCGCTCAGATAGTATCTCAAACATTGAGCCAAAATAATATTTTGGCGCGAAGTTATTTGAATTTGCAAAAGGTTTCGTCCTCGTCGTGTCCTTCAAGACTGAAAGTCTCTACTGGCAACAATGAAAAAAAAAAGTGGAGCCAGTGGGCAGGCAGGCAGTGGTTCACTCTTCGGGATGTCGAATTTGTTCCCGACCGATTAAAAGCAGTTTCACGATGTCAAATAAGTTGGTCAATACTTCAGCTTGAGCCATTTGGTGAATCATGCTAATACTTCACAGCGCACAGCTTCACAGCGCAGCATATGAGCTTCAAAACGCAAATATTTCAATTGGTTTCAGCAGGATACACTGTGTCATTATTAATTTCAGTCTCTGAATGCCTAGTTAGGGAGGTCAAGCAAGCAGAAGCCACTAACCACAGAACAAGAGAACGCACCGCAAGGCCTGTCATAGTACCTTATATTCACAACCTGTCCCACAGACTTAAGAAGGTAGCTAATAGAATCAACATCGACGTAGTATTCTCTGCTCCGCAAAAACGTTCCAGTCTATGCAAGCCGGTGAATGGGTCATCTACTCTACCAGAGTGCTGGAACAAAAACCGCAAGACCAAGTTCGTTTCCTGCGCAGATGGAGTGATCTATTCCTTCCCTCTTACCTGTGGGAAGCATTACGTCGGGCAGACGGGTCGCTGAGTTAGACTTCGAGAACATAACAACAACGCCATTAACGCTAACTCAGGTCATCTGGGCATTTATTGCAGAGATTGTGGATGCTCCCCCCTTCTAAACAATTCCACGGCACTGGTACAAACCCAAAAACAAAACAAAAACTGTCTAGAGAAATTATCGAAGCCGCTAGCATAGACCTGCTAGATGAATTATGTGTTAGTACCCCGTCGATTACCTTATTCCAGAAAGAGTTAGATTATATAAGAAAACCTCCTTAGTGACTTTTACTGTAGGCGTACTTTATCACTTCCTCTTTCATTTTATTTTTCTTTTCTTTTTATTGTATTGTATTTTATTGTTTTTCCTTTTTCTCTTTATCTTCTCTCCTTTTCTTTTTTTCCTTAGTTAATTTTTATTTTCTTCTTTTTAATGCGTAAGAGTAAAAGGTAACGATGAGAATGATTAATATATCCCAGAGTTGACAGTCGGCGCTGCGTGAGAGTTCTTTCTTTGTGTGCATGCATTTTTATAGTGTGTTGTCTTTTGTGCGCTATAACCTTTATTTTCCTTCTTCCCCTCCCCCAAGTGTGAAGTAGCCATCCTGCCAATCTCCGCGGGATAACTTATTCACCTCTCCAATAAACCAATTTTTCTCTCTCTCTTTTGTGCGCTGTGTAGTATTAGAAAATGAGTTGCTTTGGAAGCTTGCTCCGGCACCTGCAGCGCAGCAGCACGAACCAGACGCTCGGTATATTCTGTTTTCTGACTGTCGGCTCGACTGTTGAGTCAGCCTGCCACTGACGTCTCGGCACTGAAAAGCGCGGGTGTATTTGAATGTTAATTTTTGGCATCATTTCCGATTTCAAAATAACTATTCTGAATGTCGCGACACTAGATTGCGTTCGAGAGAGGGTAAAAGCCTCGGGGATTCAGAAAATATAGTTAGTTTGGGTAGCTAAAAATATCACCGCAGTCAAGGGGTGTTGGTTGAACTTCTCACTCACTACATGCCTTTGCACTTATTAAACATCAAGGTCAAACAACGAAGTGATGCGCAAAAAATCAAACAAAAACTAATCAAATTATTTCTAAAAAAAAAAAAAAAACATCTTTCAAGCTCTTTGTAGTCTGGTTGAGGTTTTCTCCAAACGACGGTGTTACTCAGTAGCCGGCATAGCTTCAAAATCCACTACAGTAGCCATAGCGTAAGATAAACGTAAGAAACAAAAGCACTGACCTGAATGTTTTGTTGCGGGGATGATGATGAATGGAAGGCGGCTAGCACTCGCGTTGCCCGTCGCCAGTCGTCATCTTGAACTTGAAATCCTGCCGGATTCACAGGCAATGTGCGCGCTACTCAGACCTCCACAGTTTACCAGCAATCCCGCCTAGACAGTAGGGACGTTTGCGTACATTGTTTCTGCCGTCCCGTTACGGCTCTCCGCAACGAAGGCGCTACTTCTACGCTTGCGCTCCGCTAGCGTTGTCTCCAGAGCTCGGGGTTTCTTAGCGCGCTGGATAGATTGCGGCGGGACTGCAGAAACGACCTTCGAAAACTCCCTATCGTCCTTAGAAGCTCGCAGAGAGGCGATACGTTTGCCGCTATCAGTTTTCGTCTCAAAAACAACTGACACGGATACCGAGAATAAAGGTTAAGGCAAATAAGCCAATAGGCCGGCATCAACAGCGAAGTCTCCTACACGGAATAGATACTCGTGCTGTAACCGCTACGTTCGTGCTTCAGACAGCAGCACGAAGGAAATAAATTATAATATTTGCGCGCGGTAAGACTCTAGTAGGTCGTTGTACCTAAAGATAAGAGCCTCCGTCAGTTTATGAACTGACGGATGGCGGGAGGGAGAGTGGAGGGATAAAGACGGCAGCAGAACGCGGCAAATCGTGGGCGCTGACATCAGCGCTAACGAGAAAATGAACGATAAAAAGAGCGACAGAAGAGCGAAGAAAAAAGCAGACAAAAGGTTGGGTGTGTTCGTTTCCTAGCGACGAGTTGAAGTCGCTCGAGCGTTGTCCAGTTCACTTGGTTTCATACAATATGCGAGATTCCGGTGCTCTCCTACAAATCAAGCTAGAAAAAAAAAAACAAGGCACAGGCAATACAGGTGATGTTTGTCTGCTGCTTTCTGCATATTAATGCGTCGCTAGCGATATGGGCCCATCGAGACCGCCCATTGGGACAGCTGATGTCCGGGTCTATGCCCTGCCGTTCTTCAGCGGCTCGAATGCCATGGGACATTTCCCTCCACTACGTTCATTTATTTTCTCTCTCTCTTTCTTTCTTACTATCTCTATATCATTTTATTGACTCTATGAGAGAGAGAGAGAGAAGGAAGGCTTGCTTAAACAACGCAAGGCACGTGCTGCGTATTAATGTATGGAAGGACAGCATATCTCGTCACGAGGACTAGAGCTGCATGTTATTAGGGACTAAGGGTCGGTTCAGATAAGATCATGCACACGTGTGCGTTAGACATTTTCTTTTTTCTTTTCATATTTTATGCATTACTCTTGAATGTATGGAGGGAACTTAATCACAAAGAGTTTTTAAACAGATAAATTATTATCCGAGAAAGTAAAGTTAAGACCGCACCAGAGCGGCAACCGCCTTTTTGGCATTCTGCGATTTGTGCCAAGTTTGACGGCGCGTAATTACAAAGTACATGCGATAGAATACTCGAGTATTTCGTAAATATAGTCGTCTATAGTGATAATATCTACAAAAATTTGTGCATATCTATAAACTATGTTTACAGCGTCTAAAATGCACAACCATGGCTATTTAGACATTTTTACTTCATACTTCTTATTTATTATCTTGTAGTGTGTTGAAGATATATAGCATTAAAACTTTTTTAATGTATTACTAACATAACAGCCCATCGTCTGTATACAACTCGTTGCTCTAGATTAAAAATAAATATACACATCTCTTCAAACATGTACGAAGCAAAACCAATTCCGCAACTTCCATGTGCAATTAAAAGATCATATGAAAGCGATAAGCTTTGAGGAGGTTGTGTCGCAGAAAGCCGGGGTCGGCATTTGTGAGACCGGAAAATCCTGATTGGTCGATAAGTAATTAATTTACCTGTAAGAAAATCAATTCGAAAACTTTTAGGCGGAGCGAGATCGAACCCACGACCCTTCGGTTGCGAGCCAGACACAAGGCCAAACAGACAATTTTTTTTTTAATTGGTCTCTTTAGACAGTGAGCAAATAGCCGGAATCCACGATACATTTCACTTGAGCATGTAAAAGAATATACTGAGCAAAAACGGTTTTAGTGAAAATGACGATAAAGCGCTGCCTGCAAGGGTTTGAGAGATGGTGAGAATTGTTAAAATTCTCTTATCATCGACAGCTTCGCAAAGGCCGGTAACCACTACATTTCCGCACATATTTTCTGGTGCACAGCTGCTATGAAGTTCACATTGTCAATGAAATAATGCACTCCTAAAAAAAACAAAACTAGTAGTGTTTACTAGGTAAAACCTAGTAGCTGCTCGTCACATATGTCACTAGGAACGTAGCAATCGTAAGCAGTAACGGTCAAGCTAGTAACGGTTACTATGTCCAAAAGGTAGTAACTGCTACTTGCCTCAAAGTAGAACCCATATATTTCACTATACGGGTTGTACTTTGAGGGGGGGGGGGGTAATAGTGTGAGTTACTTATAGTAACTCGCACAACTACCCCCCCCCCTCCCCCCCCCCCCCCCTTCCCGGACAGAAGACCGGAAACGCAACGAGTCACGTGATTTACGGTGAAAACAAAAAGGCGAGTGTGGTTATACCACTTACCACCAGATGGCAGGCGCAACAAACACTAAAACTGGAAATGAGTGATCCCGGTGGCGCTAGTCACCATCCAATTAAAAGTAAAAATAAAACCGATTATACATAGTTTACTTCAACGCTTCCACATGTGCAGCTAGATACACATCTTGTACACAAACATTTTCAGCACACAATTGATACAATGCATTCAACACCGATCACATACCAATACCACGAACACACGTGACACGATTACTCTAATCGCCAACTTCCTTGACTGCCCATGAGTCTTTTATAGTGACCAATTTGAGTGCGCGAAATTGTCGTCGTGTATCACCACGTCAATGAATCACTTTTTGCAAATATAGTGCTCTTTTCGCACTCATATCCTTCCTCAATGAAGCTTTCAAACGAATCAAAGCTTCTATCTCCTAGTGAAAAACAACGGTAAACGCGGAAATTATTTGCGACAGTCAAAGAAACAACCTCCTCCACCGGTTCTCAGCATCCGTGTCTTCGCTTCCCCGCATAGCAGCCGAGAAATCAGCTTTCCCGTCGCTTACGCTAATCGAGAATTAGAACGAAGGCGGTCGCCGTCGACGAGATTGCTTTTTTTGTTACCACCCGCGGCGAACGAAGGCTGCAATTTGCGGTGAGTACTACGGCAGCTGCATTCGTTGCGCGACAGAAATCCTAAATCATGTCTTATCTACATCATCATCACCAGTGGCGTAGCCAGAAAATATTTGCGGGTGGTGTTTCAAGGTGCTGGTACATTCAAACATACAATTAATACACAAACACACACACACAACACTATATATATATATATATATATATATATAATAAAGTAAAATTTCAGGGGGTGTTCTGACACCTGACACGCCCCCCCCCCCTCCCCCCCCATTTTCCTGGCTACGCGCCTGTCGTCCACAAAGAGTCCGTATAGACGATCATTTCTCCGATCCACGTCCTGCTTCTTGCGGTGTACCACAGGGGAGTATTCAGAGTTCTTTTTTTCCAATATGTATATAAATGACATTGTCTCTGTTGGATCAGATGTTAACTTCATTATTTACGCCGACGATACCAGCATATTTATAACCGGAAATATATCTAATGAGATAGTCGATAAAGAGAATTTGACGTTACAAAAACTAGACGGATGGACGTGCCAAAATAACTTAAAAATAAATATAAACAAAACTAAAGCTGTCTTATTTTGTAGTAAAATATAAAGATATGTTAAATCAACCAATAATGCTAAATTCAACTCCCATCGCAGTTGTCTCTAGTTTTAACGTACTAGGGGCTGTTTTTCAAGAAAATTTGTCGTGGGACACACATACTGATTCCGTAGCCGCAAAGCTGTCCCAAATAGTCGAACTTGTATATCGTAATCGGTATATTCTGCCACAAAATATTCTGATTTCAATTTATAATAGTTTGTTTTCATCTACGCTTTACTACTGCCATTTAGTCTGGCATCCACAACTCAAGCAAATCTACAAAGAATACATGTCTTACAAACACGGTTTCTAAGATTTGTTGAAAATATTCCTTCTTGCTTTCACACACAAGAGTGGTTCGTAAAATATGATGTATTGCCAATTCATAAAATGTACGATTATCGGATTTCTAAAGCTTTTAAACAAGAGGTAAAAACGAAATCACCGTTTTTAAAAGGATTAGCTAACTTACGAAGTAATACTACAGCCTACACAACGCGCCATGGTGAGCCTTGGAATGTGAGCACTTATAGAACAATCTATGGGCAAGATACGTTGAAAAACAAACTACCAAGGTTACTAAATAAATTAGCTGCCAAAAATGTCGAGCTTTTAGGTATTACGTTTAAAGCATTGCGTTGTTATTTCAGCCCCCAGTAGACTTTTCTTATGCAAAAAAAAAAATGCTGTGTAATAATCAGGGATGGGCAGTATTTCAAATACAAGTATTTGAAATACATATTTCAATAACTTTGTGTATTTTGCATTTGTATTTAATTACAAATTGGGTATTGTATTTGGCGTTTGTATTTAAATAGTAAAACGTGGGTATTTCAAATACAATTGTAATAAATACAATTTTATAGTCGAAAATACATCCCTCAAATTTATTGTCACTGTCCAGAGCAGGAAGAAAACTACGTTCTCCACCGAATGCAGTATCTCTCAATGAAGCACAAGCGTGTAGTGACTCTGATTACGGTGCTAGTCCAGGGCAAGAATAGTGACGAAATCGACGTTCAAAGGCAGACTGGCTAAATAAGTGCCTGTGACAAAAACTTGTGATGCTTTCCAGCCTGATTTCCATCCATATGTTTGCCTGGAACATTCTAAATGCGCGGGTCGTCTAGATTTTCGTAAATGGTGCGGATTGCAACAACAAAAAATTCTCTAGCTAGTGCTGCGCGTCTTGGTCGTCTCGGTTCTTTGTTGGTCTATACCGAAATGTAATCGACAAAAAAAAAAAGCTGCTAGAAGCTCTGTACTTTTTTCACCTATTACGTCTAAGAAGATTACATTTTTTGTGATTATATTTCTATTACGTTACTAGAGCCTCGCACACTAGCTCCCGAGTGTGCAATGCAAAATTAATGTGAGATACCCAGAAACCGGTTGCAGGTGCCCTGAAGTCTCTGACGCAAAATTTGAGGAATGTATTTGGAAAAGCATTTGGAGGAGACGAAATACATTTGGTTGTATTTGTATCTTGTACTTAAATGCTTTTCTCGAAATTTAATTAGATTTGTAATTAAATAAATTTTTGACGAAGTATTTTGTATTTGTATTTCGATACATATTTGCAAGTATTTTGCCCATTTCTGGTAATGATATTAAAATTCGAAAGTGCTTGTGCACGTAGGTGATCTTGTTTTTTCTTGATAATGAATTTCAAGATATTGCCACGAGCGCAGCTGACCAAGTAGGCAGCACGCCAGCGGCCTAACGGTTATCGTGCTTGCATTACGCAGAAGGCCAGGGTTCGGTTCCTGGCCGCGTCTACACATTTTTGTTAACACTGTATTGTGATGTTCTGGTAAATTCGAGAACCGTCTTGGCTAATTCGAGGTTAGAATGTTCTACGCACCGAACCTTTTACGCCGAATGTCCCAGAAGCCCACGCGTGTACAAAAGGGGCTCTGCCTGGCAAGTCGAGTCAGTCTCGCCTCAGCGCTCGATCCTGCGGTTTGGCCGACATCGACGCCCGCGACGCTCTGCTGTTTTCTTCTCTTCCTTTTTTTTTTGTTTTGGGCACAAGTTCGCCCCATCAAACGTTCAGTTTCATTAGTTATCATCGCCTCATCATTTGTTATTCGTGACATTTTGGCGGAGGTGGCGTTGCCGAAGACAACTAAAGCAAAGGGCCTCCAAGAACGACCGGAGCGCTCCCACTCTCCCGACGCTCCGCATCACAACGACGCTCCTGCATCGGTGTCCAACAACGT